AGCGGCCGGTAAACTTAAACTCCGGGTCATCGATAAGGAACGTAATTTCTTTGACACATTTTTACAGTATCAGGATCCTCTTCACTTGGGAGGTAGCTGTGTCCTCTTTTGGGGCTTTGCTTGAACGACTTTATAAGTAGTTTCTGTGAGCATACATGCCTCATAAAGCTAGAGTTATAAAGTGTTATTGCTCCTGCTGTTTTCCCGGTCTCTGATTCATTGCAGTTTTTGACCCGGCCCTCCTGTCAGAGTGGAGACTGTTGACTCAAGAGTGCGTTTGTAAAAGTGGGAACAGGGCGTGTTGTGTTGGTTATGGCCACTCGTCTCGTGGCCGATGGGAGGGTGGGTGCAGTGGAGAGGGTCAAATAAACGTTATCTGAACCCTCGGTGTGATCCATGAGCCGTAATGGGGTTTCTTCATAAAACCAGGATTAGTCATTTGTTACCGCAGAGATAATTCCTGTTTCCAGCTGTTTGAGATAACAAGCTTTGCTGACCCACATAACTCTAATGAAGTTATGAGCAGTAATGAATTTGTACTTAGCTTTGTTAAACCATTCACCGGGTGTAATCTCCTCTTTGAACAATTGAAAACTTTGGAAAATGAATGGGTAAGAGCTTATGATGTTTGCTATGTCAACATTTGTTCTTGGCAAAAGACTCCACTCTATTTATCAAAAGGAAATTCTCCTCAGAGCGGTTTCCAACTATTACCTTTTGATTTTGTGCGTCAATATTCAAAGCAGAAATTGAAGATGGGGTTATTTTCCATCCAGCCATTTTCTTCCGCTTCATCCGTTGCCGGGTCGCGGGGGCAGCAGTCTAAGCAGAGACGCCCAGACTTCCCTACATACTTCCTACAGCTCATTGTTGGGGTTAAAACAAAACATAGATTGATATAATAACAATGAAATCCTTCTAACGTCTATCACTAGTTGTGTATAGAATTGGAATAAATAATTGTAAATGAAGGATTTGATAGGAAAATTCTATGCAGTGACATTTGATGATTAATGTTCTACTTTGAACTCGGAATAAATAAGCACTCAACTCAACAGGCATATTTCAGCCTTGTCACATCCATAGACATTCTAGTTTTGGAAAGAAAAGTGACAAACCGACAAATAGTGACAGACAAAACGTTGTGACATAAAAAAAACAAATGAAATGAATAAATGAAACCTAGCCTTATTGTACTACTCATAAAGACAGAACCAGTACCAGTGTGTTAACTGGAAAATATTTCAGGGAAGAGATTGAGTCTTGTTATGTCCAATACAATCTTTCTACTGAACCGATACCAATTAACTGAAATCGCAGCTAGTAGTATTACAAAATGGTCCTTCTTTGTCCCTGTTATAATTAAACCTGCAAGTAACTACTGAAAAACATAACATGAGTTAAAACTATGTTGTTCTGTGTGAATATTAAAACTCTGTAGTACCAGACGGCCTGTTTTCACATTAGTCCATTGTTCGAGCGATGACTCTGTGTCTCGAGGTTTTCTGCATCTGTTGTTGTTTCCTGTTCTGTGTTTTTGTTCATTGTGCCTCCGTCTGTCTTCACTAGATAACAGACTGTGATGTGAGTATTCTGAGTGCTCATATGGACTGTAGAGTGGACAGGAGTGATACGGCTCAAAGGCATATACCATGTGACCTGTGGACTGTAAATTTATAGACTGAAGATTGGTCGAGATACACTTAGCCGACCCGTATTTAAAACATCATGTCAACACCACCTGGAATCTGTGTGTAATACTGTTTATTTGTATTTCTGTTTTAATTAGTGTTGAATATACAGTAGATGTTGCAATGTAAACAAACCTACAAAGACACATAACAACCTTTTTATTGTCTGAAGTTAATTCAGAAATTCAATCTGAATTGAATTTCCTGTTTTATGTCACTTTTGTTATCCTTCCAAAAGCTTCTCACCATGGCTGGCTGGGATTTTGGCCCATTGTTCCTGATGTGAAACTGAGAATGAACTTCGGACTTTGCACAATACATCAAAAACATATTTTAATGTGTGCAATGTGCAACGCTTACTTTAATAAATCATCTGTTTCACAAACTTGTTTTCACTTTGACCAATCCAACGCATTCCTGAAAGTGCATAACTAAAAGCGCAGCTTGCTAGCTTGAGCAACAACAAAAACTCAATACAACAAAAATGCTACTTTGTACTTTGGCTTCAGATGTGTAAAAAAGTATTGACTGTCCATCCATCCATTTTCTTCCCCTTTACCCATTTCTGGGTTGGGGAAGCATTTGTTTGAGCTTCTGTAAGAATCCCATTTTCTCACATGGTTCACTTTAATGATGCCGAAAGCTAAATATGACTTCATAGTAGGAAGCTTTTGGCCCCAGCTATGTCCACAGTCTCACACATACAGGCACTAAACAGCAGCTGCCAGCACCTAGTTTAGACCCAGGCCCCACTCTCTCTATTTGTAGATGGATGGAGTCATGGAGAAGTTTTCTGATCCACCGGGAGAAATACCTCAACTTCTACAACATCTACTCAACAAAACATTCTTCTCACTTGCATTCACGTCCAGTTTGGTTCAGTGCAGTGGGATTAGGTTTGTGTATTAATTCCTGTTATTAGGTTTGTGTATTAATTCATGTTGAAAGAGCTCTCGTTTTCTTAAAGCTTAGTACCGTAGATGTTTGCGAATGCCAAAGTTCTTTGTCATTCTTGTAATGTGAGACATACTGTGCTTTTGTCAGCAGTTCTTGCACCTGTGGATTATTATTGTATCATGGATAGTTTGAATGTTGATTAATAGACCTGATAAAAGATGAGATTGGTGTAGCAATGGCAGGAGATTACTCAAATATGCATGAATCACAATCTAAACACAACTTTGGACAGGAAATGATGAGGGAAACCATTTACAACATGGTTCAAAGCTCTTAAAACTATCTAGGTGCTCTCAGATTGATAACAGACTTGTCATCCTCACACACAAAAAAACACTTTCTAAATCTGACACGCACTTTTGCCTGTTTGTTCTTGAAGGTACAAGGCAGACGTATTTAGCACCAATATTGTTACCATCTAGTTGTTTCACTGGTATGAATACAATTTAAACTAAGATTCGCAAATTCGAAATTACAGAGAAGAGTGAAAATACACTAAAAAACGAGAAAAGTAGGAGGGACACAGCGATGTAAAAAGCGGCCGCCTCTCCCAGCGCCTCCAGTTAGGTACCTCGTTGCTATTATTAGTAACTTACGACAACAAACCAAATCTATTTTTGTAAAAACCCTAAATCACAACAGCAGTCAAAAGGATAGCCGTTTCGAAAATCAAATCATAAAAACATTGCACTGAAAAACAGAGGGCTATCTGAATTGTATTAGTTATTCTGTCATTTTGAAATATACTGCATTTATTCAGATGTAAAAAAAAATCAGGTCAATAAGAGATTTGACTGTTTATTGCCCCAAATACTTTGCTAATCGCTAATCTACGGACACGTGTAATAAACTCTGTCTGTGCACACTGGTGACTTTTTGCTACTGTATTCCAATGTGGTTTTTTACTGCAAATGGCAAATAAACTGAACAGAACAAATCATACAATCTCTTTCGTAAACACAGTCTCTCCTTGTCGGCGGATCATCCTTCATTATTCCTCTTCTAAACACAGTGACAAGTGCAGTGTAAATTCTGACCCACTGCCACAGGAAGCCGAGCCGTTCATATTCATTACTTCATTCCTTCTCACTTGTACACACCTTTCTCGCTCTATTTTTATTTGTGTTTCTTCATCTCTGTTATTTGTTCCAGATGATGAGATTATTATTCGGGTATTTTGAGGTCATTTCTGTGTGACAAGAAAAATATACTCAATATTCAAAACTGCTATACTATAAACATTCTTCAACATATTGCCATGGCTGGGATTTTTTGTATTTTTTGGCAATACTTGGTACCAGATCTTGATCGATTCTTGGCTTTGCTTAATTTGCCGGTGTGAATCATTATCTAGAATGACAATTAAAGCTGGGATACCTAACTTAGAATAAAACAATGGCAATGTATTACAATCTAACTGGTTCCTCAGTGTCAAAACAGTTTGGTGCTATCCCTAGTTTTCACATATCTATCTTTTGGCGTCTGTCTCACCTTTTTAGATCAGCTTTTTCAGACAGAAATGTGAAAAATAGAGGACCACCCTCTCTCAGGTTTGTCAGCACTGATACAAAAAACAAAAATGTATCGTTTATGAGGCGACAATAGTGCTGTGGTTGTGTCCTTGGGCAAGACACTTAACCCACTTTGCCTATAAGGAGTGCGGAAGTGATGTTCGCTGCTTGCCTTGATGCATGTGTATATGTGCAGTATATAGATGTACTGTATATGTGTGTATGCATCAAACTGAAATTTCCCCATTGTGGGACGAATAAAGGACCTTCTTCTAAAAAATTAATTTAGAATGAGTTCCAATAAACCCTTTAATATTCCTCCTTTCTTCTTATCTGTTCAGTAACATTCTCTACAGTGCTTTTCCAGAATCCAGTAGCCATAAAAATGTTATTTAGGCTCCTATTCTGATACCACTAGAACCGTTACTGTTATTTTCCAGTTCCAGCCCCATTGAAAAGATACCCCTCCATATTGGACACTATGCCTTTCCTTGTGTTTCCCTGCTGCCTCTGTCTCTCCCTCTCCTGCCTCTCCTTCTCCCGCACTAGTTATCTCTCTCACTCCACATTTTTCTTCCCGCCTCGGTGTCCTGAGCCTGGCGTCAGGGTGGCCTCGTCGGTGTCAGCAGCCGGCCCAAGAATAGCCGTACGAGCGCGGATGGATCATGTGTAACTCTGAGGGGAAAATAGAGTGAAGTGGGAGTATGCATTCACTCCGGTGGGCGTGTGTGTCTTAAACAGCAAGACAGAGAGGGCTTCCACTTTTCACTTTTTACAAACTCTCTGCCTGGAGCATTCCGGAGTCAGTCTATGGACACAACTTGCGAGTTACTGTCGGAATATGATGGAAGTAAATGGACGTCACTTGCCTCCTGCCATACCAGAAGATGGGGAGATCCCGGACCACGTACTTCAAGGAGAAATGAACGGATACCATCGTCATCATCGCCGGTTCGAGGACACGGGGGAGGCGGAGGTGCCGGTTTCCAAGTCCCAGAGAAGGAAAAGCGACGTCAAAGTCTATAAGGAGTTTTGTGATTTTTACGCCAAAATGTAAGCGCAAAATCTAACTGTTGTCGGCTTTAAAGGGACACTAGTGTGAGCTTGCTTTGCCTGTGTTTTTACTTAAATACAGAAGTATATCTTTAAAACTTAATCTTTATTTTTTATTTATTACATTGAGCAAAATCCCTCTCCTCAAGTCTTCTTGTTTCTTTGTTTATTGATAATGCCATACTGTGGAACATTGTAGAAAAAGCGAACACATTATCAAGAAACAGAAAAATGACATCTGAGTGAGACAGGCCTCCTCTCTGACAATGTTTAAAACCAGGTTAAAGACGGTTCTGTTTAACTGTGCATACAACTGAGGGATTTTATATTTTTATCTTTCTTTTTAATGTTCTGTGATAATTTATGATTTTAATGCTTTCTTGTTTTGTTCAGCACTTTGAATTGCCTTGTGTAACAACTGCTTTGTTATTAAAAGGTAATAAATTAGATAAGTGTAATAGTATTGGGTTATTGATCAGAAGAGTCTAGGGTCGGCTGCTGGAGGATAGGCTCAGTAAATGACAGTACAAAAAGGTAAGTTGATGTAAAGTGTATTATACAAACAAAAGTGAAACCAATGAACAAATATTTACAATGAATACCGGTAAAAGCAAAAGAAATGAATCAAAGTTCAATAATCCAGGGTGTTAGTCCAAAAGTTCAGTAATGGACAATAACTGTTTGGTTTGAGCACCACAAATGTCCTTAGGAAGCTATGGTTGAGGTGGTTTATGTCCAAGCGCGATTTTATTGAGTATCGGGATATGTGGGAGTGGTGTCAATCCTCACAACGGAAGGAGGGGAAAAGGAAAAAGAAAGGAGACAGGCTGCTTAGCCTCCCACCCACTAGGAGTCGACCAACACACAGGAAGACAGTTCCAGGCTCTCTAGCTCGCCATCAATTAGGTCCCCAGCAATGGGAAACCTGGCCTGTATAAACAAACAAGGCCTCTCAGTCATGTGCACAAAGTCAAATATAAATCAATGGTACCATATACAAATCAACAGGAGCTTATGCTAAGCTAAACAAATCACAGTCAAAATCACATGGATGTTGGACATCACACATAAAAACCACAAACTAGCATATCAGCATGCTAATTTACCATTACAGTACATAATAATCTGTGGTACACTCACCAGTCCAGATTATCGTGAGCACACACACCGGAAAATTACTGTCACACACACAAATGTTTAGTCTGTGAATTAAAATAATGCAACTGGTAAGTTTGTTGAATGTATAAAGATGAAAAAGTTTAAAGTGATTCAAAGACTGACCTAGCAGCTGCTGTCTCCTTACTCCTCACTCCTCACACTCGAGTGTGAGAAGTGATAGCAGCTTTTAAACTGTACTGATTATGAAATCAGGTGTGTGTGTGTGTGTGTGTTCTGGGACAGGTGCTATGCTCTGGCTAATTGCTAGAGAAGGGGAAAACCAGGGATGGATTGAAATTTAACCCTGGGTTACATCCTCCCCCCTTAAACCCTTGCACGTCCCGTTGCAAGATACAGCTTGCGGATTTGGATAAATCGACTTAAATGTTGAGGAACCTAAAGCGTCGGACAAACTATGCAAAACTGTCTGCATGACCGATATCAACGGATTGCCTAAGGAACCATAATTAAAACGTTTAGGCGGTGATCTATGACGGTTCGAACGCCTTAGAGTAGATTCAGGTTCGGCAATTTCGGTAGCAGGTAAGTTTTGTGTGCCATCCAGATTTTGTGGTTCAGCTGAATTATTTCCAAAATGGTCATTTTCTTCAGGATCCACATCATCAACGGACAACGGAGTCATCGGATCAGGTAAGGGTTCATTTGCAGGGTTGGTTTCTTCAGCAGGTAAGTTATCAGGGTTTACTGTCTCTTCAGCATGAGCCTCATCGGCAGGAAGGGTCGACTCTATGGTTTCGGCATCACGTTGAAGGGCTGTTGGATATTGGAATCCCTCAACTGAGAACTGTAGAGGTACTGGAAGAATGTGGATCGGCAGATCATCCAACAAGTCCTCTTCCTTATCAGCATCTTCAGCTTGAAGTTCGTTCAGTCGCTGCTGACGAGTTCGACGAGGTACTGGAACCGGAATGGAATCAGGCACATCAGTAACCTTGGGAAGGTATCCGCACGGCAACAGGAGATCCCGATGCAAAGTGCGTGGTGGTCCATCAAGGCTTTCAGGCTTGACAGTATAAACTGGTAGGTCTCCAGCTCTTTTAACCACGATGTAGATGTTTTGCTCCCACTTGTCACTTAGTTTGTGCTTGCCCCTTATCCTTACATTTCGCACAAGCACTCTGTCACCAACTTCTAGCTGGGATGGGCGTATGTTCTTGTCGAAACGAACCTTGTTTCGACCAGTACTTTTCAGTGCGTTTTCTGAGGCAATTCTGTAACTCTCCTTCAACCTTGCCTTGAGCTTTTGCACATACTCCGAATGCGGTTGAGGAGTGTTATTCTGAAGGGGCAACTGGAAGGCTAGATCCACCGGAAGGCGAGGTGTTCTGCCAAACATTAATTCGTAAGGCGTGAACCCGGTCACTTCGTTTCTGGTGCAATTATAGGCGTGAACCAGGGGTTTAACAAAATCACGCCACTTGGCTCCCCCCTGGACTGCCACCTTAACGTGGTGGGGGAGTTTGAGTACTCGGATGATCCTGGGAGCTATGCTGTCTGGGGCTTCATGCCCCTGGTAGGGTCTCCCATGGCAGACAGGTCTCGGGTGACGAGTCAGACAAAGAGCAGTCCAGAAGACACCATGGACAGCACTCATACGAAACCAGTGACGTCGCCCGGCATGGCGCAGCCGGGGCCCCACCCTGGAGCCAGGCCTGGGGTCGGGGCTCGTAGGCGAGCGCCTGGTGGCCGGGCCTTAGCCCACGGGGCCCGGCCGGGCTCAGCCCGAATGGACGACGTGGGCAGTCCCTCCTGTGGGCCCACCACCTGCAGAGGGGTCCGTGGTGGCATGGTGCAGAGAGGACTGGGCAGCAGTCGAAGGCGGAGACCTCGACGACCCAGTCCGCACACACAACAGCTGGCTCTCGGGACGTGGAACGTCACCTCACTGGGGGGGAAGGAGCCCGAGCTTGTGGGGGAGGTTGAGCGATACCGACTAGAGATAGTCGGCCTCACCTCCACACACAGCTTGGGCTCTGGAACCCAACTCCTTGAGAGGGGTTGGACGCTCCACTTTTCTGGTGTTTCCCGCGGGGAGAGGCGGCGAGCTGGGGTGGCCATTCTCATTGCCCCCCATCTCAGCCGCCACGTGTTGGAGTTCTCCCCGGTGAATGAGAGGGTCGCGTCCCTCCGCCTCCGGGTGGGGGACAAGTCTCTCACTGTTGTGACGGCCTACGGGCCTAACAGCAGTGCAGAGTACCCGGCCTTCTTGGAGTCCTTGGGAGGGGTACTGGACGGTGCACCGCCCGGGGACTCCGTTATTCTCCTGGGGGACTTCAACGCCCATGTGGGAAACGCCAGTGACACTTGGAGAGGGGTGATCGGGAAGAGCGGCCCCCCTGATCTGAACCCGAGCGGTGTTCAGTTGTTGGACTTCTGTGCCAGTCACAGTTTGTCCATCACGAACACCATGTTCGAGCACAAGGGTGTCCACCAGTGCACGTGGCACCAGGACACCCTAGGCCGGAGGTCGATGATCGACTTTGTTGTCGTATCATCTGACCTTCGACCGCGTGTCTTGGACACTCGGGTAAAGAGAGGGGCGGAGCTGTCAACCGATCATCACCTGGTCGTGAGTTGGATCCGCTGGCAGGGGAAGAAGCCGGTCAGACCTGGCAGACCCAAGCGTATAGTGAGGGTCTGCTGGGAACGTCTCGCTGAGCCCCCTGTCAGACGGACTTTCAACTCACACCTCCGGGAGAGTTTCTCCCAGGTCCCGGTGGAGGAGGGGGACATGGAGTCCGAGTGGACCATGTTCTCTGCCTCAATCGCCGATGCGGCGGCCCGTAGCTGTGGTCGCAAGGTCTCTGGTGCTGGTCCCGGCGGCAACCCCCGAACCCGGTGGTGGACACCGGCAGTAAGGGAAGTTGTCAGGCTGAAGAAGGAGTCCTATCGAGCCATGATGGTTCGGGGGACTCCTGAGGCAGCTGTCCAGTACCGGCAGGCCAAGTGTGCCGCGGCCCGGGCTGTTGCAGAGGCAAAAACCCGGGACTGGGAGGAGTTTGGAGAGTCCATGGAGCATGACTATCGGTCGGCCTCAAAGAAATTCTGGCAAACCGTCCGGCGCCTCAGGAGGGGGAAGCAGTTCTTTGCCAACACCATGTACGGATGGAGAGCTGCTGACCTCGACGGGGGATATTGTCGGGCGGTGGAAGGAATACTTTGAGGTTCTCCTCAATCCCCCCGTCACGTCCTCTGTCTCAGAGGCAGAGGCTGAGGATGCTGGGGCGGATACATCCATCTCCCTGGCTGAGGTCACCAAGGTGGTTGGTAGCCTCCATGGTGGCAAGGCTCCGGGTGTGGATGAGATCCGCCCTGATTATCTAAAGTCTCTGGATGTTGTAGGACTGTCTTGGCTGACACGTCTCTGCAACATCGCGTGGCGATCGGGGGCGGTGCCAATGGAGTGGCGGACCGGGGTGGTGGTCCCTCTCTATAAGAAGGGGGACCGGAGGGTGTGTTCCAATTATCGTGGGATCACACTCCTCAGCCTCCCCGGTAAGGTCTACTCCAAGGTACTGGAGAGGAGGCTACGGCCGATGGTCGAATCTCGGATCCAGGAGGAGCAGTGTGGTTTTCGTCCCGGTCGCGGAACACTGGACCAGCTCTATACTCTCCATCGGATACTCGAGGGTTCATGGGAGTTCGCCCAACCTGTCCACATGTGCTTTGTGGATTTGGAGAAGGCGTTCGACTGTGTTCCCCGGGGTGTCCTTTGGGGGGTTCTCCGGGAGTACGGGGTCGGGGGTCCTCTGCTGAGGGCCATCCGGTCCCTGTATGACCGGAGCCAGAGCTGTGTTCGCATTGCCGGCAGTAAGTCAGAC